CTAACCAGTATTTTCGCCCCTTCCCAAAATTACTTCAACGGAAGGTTTCCAGATGGATATGCGGAGCAAATCCATCTGGCGGAGTCAGGTTAATGCATCTTTGCATTGAACTGCAGACACCGCTTCACTCATGTTAGGTCTGGGGGTTTTGTCTTTAGGATGTACTAGTCTCTGTCTAAGGGTCTGTTGAGTTTGAAATGTACTGGAATTTTGTGTTTGGAGAATATCCTCTTGAGTTTTTCAGAGACTCCAGCAATGGGATGGCGATGTTTTTGCATTTAATCTTCTCAACTTTTAACTTTTCTGGAATGACTATGACCTGGATGACTGAGAATCCTCACCAGCACCTTCTCTCATATGCTAGAGTATATAATAAGTAATAAAGCTGGTATGATTCAAACAAATATATATAATATATATTAATATCAGTATCCTTCAATTCTCAAATAATAATATCAGTGTGGCATCGGAAATAAAAAAGTTGTATTGGGACATCCTTAGTGATAACTCTGTTTATTTGACTGGATGATCTGGTTGAACTGTATCTGTAAAGTGCCTTGAGATGACATGTGTTGTGAATGGTTAAACTACAGCAGATAAACTACAGAACTGAGTCCAGTATCCTTCAGCATCTCTGTAGTCTCTGACACTGTGGTACTAACACTAGACTTTCTCATTCTAGATGTTTTCTTTCTCATATTTTGTCCTGCAGCTTTTAGATGGATGAGTAACAAAAGGATGAATTACCGTATTATCAGTCATTTAGCTCTGCGGAGGCATTTCTTTCATTTCAGGAGTGTTGGAGAACAGATGCATCTAAAAGCTGGGGGACAGTAGATCTCCAGGACTTTATCTGTTGCCCATCATTAGATCTTACTTCACTGATCTAATAGTTATGACCTCCTCATGTTTTTACACGTTGGTTTACAGATGTAATCAACACAAAAGCAGACATAGAAACTAAAGTTATCAAGACTAAAGACTTTTCTATTTCTCGCAGCATGCTGGAGGGGATGAGTCCCCTGTTTGTAAGCGGTCTTTGCCGCTGGCCAGGCTGTGGAACCATGTCAGAAGATTTCTCCTCCTTCTTAGAGTAAGTAGGCTCCTAAATAGTCTGCTAAACAACATTACATTAGACTGAAATTTTGGTCCAATAGGTAGGAGAATGCTTTTAATAAATGCTAAAGTGGCCTGCCATAGACCACCTTATATAAACTTACGCATTAACTCGAGTAACAATCTTCTCCTTCTCCATCTCCCTCTCCTTTGAAGCTGTAGTGCTGTTTCTCTGTCTTTTAAACACATTCTCCTTTTTTGTTTTATTTTTTTTTGCATTTCTGCATTAAAATATCTTGTTCCAGTGGGGTAAAATAAGCACTTCCTGTTGCCTGTTGTCATGGTGACTCGTCGAATAGGCTTATCATACTTGTTACGCACGCACTAAACTCGAAGTGGATCTAGTTAAAGTTGCTTGAACTAATTGATAACTAGTGTTGCACCGATACCGATACCATTATTGGACGGGGCCCCGATACTGCCCTAAAATGGTGGTATCGGTATCGGTGCAACACTAGTTATCAATTAGTTCAAGCAACTTTAACTAGATCCACTTCGAGTTTAGTGCGTGCGTAACAAGTATGATAAGCCTAT